AAGTGTGTGAAGGTTTGTTACTAAAAATCCCTTCTCAAATTTATACAGATATAGATATAGAATATCTCGCTTACAATATGCTCCCTAAATGATTAGCTCTATATAATAGTCGTTCATCCGAATGTTGTATGATTACAAGATTTCAACAACTTCCATAAACTTTTTTTTTTTTTTTTTTATCAATGATATCTATGTTTAACTCTAAATAATCCGCTATAGCTAATTGTCAGTCAGATACTTATTAATTGCACTAACTACATCACGTTAGCTCATAAAAATACACTAGTCCGCTAGAATAGTCCATCATATTACATGAACGTGTTTGAAATTTAATTGGTCTAAAATATAATTGCATTATTCTAACAAATGCACATTAACACATATAAATCACACTAAATTTATTATGTAATGATCTTTCATTGCTTTTATACACTTTCCCTAACTACTTTTTTTTTTTTTTTTAAATAAACATCTTCTTCTTTTGTGGAGTGCTTAGCATGGGCTCGTTAAATAACTCCAATATAATTGTATATTATGTTACGTGTACAAGAGCACAAGTGCTAGTTCCTAATTTGAAGTTATAGACTTTCGTTGATTAATCGTGGGTTGAAAAAGAATCTCATCTTCTACAACTCGTACATCTTGCCTTCCATGTTCCATCTAAATATCTCCATAATAAATTTGCAACCAAATCCCGGATTACATAAGATTAACTTACCTTATGAGATTGGTGACAAAAGGAAAAAAAGTATTGAAATTAATAAGAGACCCTTGATGATAGCGGGAAAGTGAGTCGGACTCAAATAAGTGCCCACGAAGCTGACGGCTCAAAAACCAAAAGAAGCCCACGTCAGTAGCGGTGGCAGAAGCAGATGCAGATGAATATCCCCGCACTTTTTCAGGTAAAAGTACGGTGGCCTATGACGCTAATTACACTAATCATTTTCTCTCCAATTCGGGCAACGCGGATCAATGCGTATGCAGCAACCCTGGTCTCGTCGGCACCTCTTCAACCCAAGAGACGTGTTTGTTAAAACGCTTGAGCTCAAGCAAAACGGCCGAAACTCAAACAAGACGAAGCAGAAAATAATCGCTTGTTATAACCTCAAAATTTTCCTCTAGGGCTTTTGCATTCTAATATCTAGAACATTCCTAGTCTTGGAACACTGCCCAAAAAAAAAAAAAGTTTTCTCGCTGCTGCTGCTTAAAGAACTTGAACTTGATTCAACTATTACTGCATTAGTGCTTCCGGTTCCTAAATGTGGTGTAAATCGTGTTGAATTTCTTTATGTCAAACAAGAAAAAAAAAATGAAGCGAGAGAAGAAATCCAGCAGAGTTTGTTGGGCAACTGAAGCTAATCTTTGTCAGGTATACTCACACTAATGCTGTTGATGATCATCATTGTATCCGTACTAAATTCGTGTATTGAATCAGCTTTTCAGTGTTTTTTTTTCTGAAAAATTTTGATGTGTCATTTTTTTTTGGGAAAATATTATTACTTGGTTTTTACGACTTCAAAAATGAGATTTCATGCTAATTTGTGAGTGCACATTAGTTTACAAATTTGCAAACAAATAATTTGTGTGCATTCATTTATCTATTGTATTTGGGAACAGTACTTTATTGATTTTTATTGGTAACCTAATTGATTCTGTCCATTGTAGTAGGATTTGCTTTAAGAAGCCACAACTATTGTTTTTGGAGAGACCAGGTATTAAAAACTCTGTTGTCTTAAAAAATGCAGTTCTTAAAAATACAAACAAAATTGAAATTTTGAAAAGAGCATCATGGACATAATTTAGATATACAGTCAGTAAATTTTTAGACATATGGAAGTACACATTATAAGAGATAAAACGAGATAAAAAGGTCAATAATCATTCAATTTAAGTTTAAACTTTAAAGGAAGCTTTGAACTATTTGAGGTGTTAATCTGTTACATGGGGAAATCAAATTCTGTTCTACATTAATGAACGCAACTCATACTTTAGGGAAGCAAATTTCTCCTTCCTGGATGCATGGATGCATCTAGTTCTGTGGAGGAAAGAATTCAACCATTTAAACAAGCTTTTGAGAATCCTTCATTCTCATTTCACGGAAGAAGTACTCACTGAGCTCCAATACGTTGCTAATACACTTATAGGCTGGATGTGTTTTGTGTTTACAAGGATTCTACGTGCATAGCTTTTAATTTATATCTTACTAAAAGAAATGCAAACTAAGATGTTTTCGACCAAGCAGCGTGCATGCAGTCAAAAGAAGGAGAGTAAACAAAGAAGTTCAGGCAGGAACAGTTTGCATCATTTTTGAGGCAAAGAGAATGTCTAAAACATAAGGGATTCTGAGAGTTCTTCAAGCAGGAAGGAGATGAAGTTCTGCTTATACTTTGTATAAGCTGTTCTGCCTAAGCATGTGATCTGACCATAAGCTATTGAAGATCATTAATTTTAACTAAATGATCTACAGATTTCAAGCCTTCGAAACTTGACTAACAGAAGTATTATCTGTCACTTAGATGCATTCTTTTGATATGATGTTGGTGATGTTTTGCTTTTCAGAAGTCATTGATAAGACAAAACATTTTGGAAGATGTGAAGAATGGTAACAAAAAACTGTCTGGAAAATACTTTAATTTCAAAAGTTTTCAAGGTGGATAAAATGTCCTGTTTAAGTCTTTGACTTAAAGGTTCCCAAGATTGAATGAGCTACTCTTAAGACACTTCTTAGATGCCATTGAATTGACGATAATCCTGATGCTAAATGATATGCTAGCATGTGCACTTATCAAGCTGGCATTCAATGGGTGTGCCAATGCTTAGTTAGAGCATGTTAGTCATTATGGGCACCATTAATGGGAATAAGTGTGCTATAATATCAGACCTATTGTTCACTGTATGTGAAACTATTATCAGCTAATGTTGTCGAAAAATGGTAAACAACTCCAAAAGATAACTTGAACATGTTGGGAGTCAAAAGAAACATAATCATCTAAACTTTAAATTACGCTTTGCATTTTTAGGTCTACTTAGAGCATTAACTTTAGGGTAAGCTTATTGTGATTGGTTTGTAACGGTCCACGAGGGAGCTATTTCACAATCTGAAGCAGCTATGATGTTTATCGAAGTACAGAAAGAGCTGTTACAATATATGCGTCAGTCATGTTATGAGTTCAAGGAAAGGACAGAGTCAGCTGATAGATCAATGGAATATATACTTTGTAAGGAGAGGAAAAGTTGCTCTCTTTTGCCAATGTTAAGTCTGATTTGTTAGAATTAGGCCATTGGAGTAGCTTAGGAAACACAGTTGGTTATTGTAAAGTGTGAAATAATGAGTTCAAGTGGATGAAAACTAACCAACAGGGATAGCCTCTACCTATTAGGTTGTAGTTGCAATTATGTTAAATCATCTTGAGCATAATTCTCAGCTTCTGAGCAGCACAAACCTAGAGTCTAGCAGGGTATTCAAAGTCCCTAGAGCAGTCCACAGTTTCTGCCTTTTGCTTAGATAAAGGGGTAGAAATAATGGCACATTGGAAGTTCTTGTATGCGCACGCAATGAACGGTCTCTGGGGAGGTTGTTGATTCTTGTTTTTAAATGAAACATGTACCATGCAGTGTGATGTGTCCCCAAGAAGGCATCATCACTTGCATGTGTGACTCATCAGTAGGAGAATGCTCCAATATGAACGAGATCACTTGCTTTAGTTGTGAACAAACAGTAGGTACATGGTTCTTCTTCTTATCCACACGCTTTTAATTTGGTAAACTATAAATTTGTGTTAATGTGCTTTACTCTGAGGATTAGTTGACTTGCCATGCTTTTCTGTGTGCTTGTTGCAGAAACATTGAAGTTATCGAAGGGTTTTCGTATATGATTTCATAATCATAGGCAGTTCTATGCCAAAATTAAAGGAAAATTGATTCTCAACAAAGTGGATGCTTGGTTAAATGTACATAGAACTTTTGCTTCTTTCACTGATAAAAATAAAGTTGGTACGTTTTGGTTTTTGGCATGGACCTCAGCTTTAATGTTGTCTCTTAATTACATGCTTGATGTGGAATGTTGGTAAACTGTCACATTTGGCATGGAGCTCAGTGATCATTATATTCTTTGTAGATGTATGTGGATGTTTAAAGTGCATTGATATGAGAAAGGAAGAGGACAAATTTTTTTAAATGGATGACCTTGGTTAGTTGGAGCTAAAAAAATGATGATTAAGTGAGTACTTCCCTTCAGAAATCCTTGGCTTCATAATCATGTCACCGCGTGGTATCTTCTAGTTTCTAACGGGGAGTCTTCTTTCATTTCATAGATGCTTGGGATGTTTCAATTATTTTGGTTATCAATTTCAGCATATGATATCATCACTTACTATGTCAAATATGACAATGCTCACTTCTACTTAGGTTGAACCAGTATAACTTTAAGAGTATAGTGGAACAGTATTCACTTGACACAATGTATAACCGTTACTTGCATTTGAAGTCATAACTTTGCTCATCTTGAGTTAAGAATGCTTACGCCCTGTCAGCTCCACCATAGTTGCACCATAAGTGGATAGTGTGAATTGCTGAAGTCATTGTTTTGATGCTTCTTGCTCCATTGTTTTCTGTTGAGTCATTGCTTATTGCTGCTAAAAGGAGCATCTTTCGCTATCTCAAATAATGCATCCCAATACAGAATAATAAAGTTCTTCGCCCTTCTGTTAAATATTTAATACGCTACTTTATAGGCTGTTACCTTTGCTTTTCGATATGTGGTTTAAATTCTCTTGATTTACATACATATTGGTCTCGCTGAAGTTGTCGAACCACTTTTTGAGTTAAATTCAGCAAGACTTTATATGAAGCACCTCTGTTGCAGTTCTCTAGTTGTCTTTTGTCTGCAAGGAGTAATGTTTTGAAATATGGTTGTGCACACAAACAAATAATTTCGTCATGTTTTACTATCTTGAAGTGTATGCATTGTCTAGGTAAAGTATATATTGCATTTAGTTGGGATGAGAAGGCAGGTTCTTGAATGTGAAGGCAATGAAACTTCTGCAGCAGGATGGGTGAAATGAAGTTATTGCTGTCTCCTATATACTGTTCCTTTCACTTCCAATTCTGGGCTTCTGGGCTTGTTTTGGGGTTCAGGGTTGGGGGGAATGGGGGATGATTGAATTGGCTGCTATGTGGTGCGTCAAACAATGTAGTCCTGGTGGTTCTTTGTCAGCTTTGTCGTCTCTCTACATGCTTTAGGTATATTACCACGTTCTTTACATATTTATCCGATCCAATACATTCCAGGTCCCTCGTTTGTTATTTGTGCAGGTAAAATTTTTCCAATCAGAAGATTGCCCATCTGCGGTAGGTAGGGAACCTCCTGGAAATCCTCACGAAAGGGTATCAAATGCAAATATTGCGACTGCTGATGGTTGTCCTGGATCGTCAGTCGGAAGCTACCCCAACCTACTGAGCCATAAAGGTGTCTCACACATTCCTCAGATTCCGTGGAGAACTCCTCCTCGAGTAAGCTTATGAGAAGTGATAAGACTGCATAATTTTCACATTTTGCTTCTCAAGTTTGGGTAACCTATTATGTATTTATCAAGCAGTTTGATTTGAAGTTTAAATGTCACGTGGCTGCTGGGGAAGAAAGTGAAGAAGTAGAGGTTCAAAAGCATAGGGAAATGAGAGTGCGTGAGGTAGTTTATCCTCACTTTTCTGCTGTTCCTCCCAGGTAAAGTAAACTCTTTAGTTTAATACAATTAATTGCTTTCTTCTCTTGACCACATCATTGGCATTTTGCAAATAGCCCCTCGATCTCATCGGATGTGGAAGCCGAACATTTTGATGATTGGCATACTCCGGTTATTCCTGTCATTGCAATTGAAGAAGCAGCAGAAACGGACTGCCTGTATAATGAAACAGCAGCGCTCAACATTTCCGCCAAGTCAGAACCAGCAAATATGTCCCAAAGCCCATCAACTTCTGAAATTTTTGACATCCCTCAGAGCAAGTCTCTTCTTTCTCGAGAGCTATCTAAAGGTAAAAAATCTGATCATGCACCACTGCAAGATCTAGATGGCCCAATGGTTGCAGCAGCAGCTGCCACAACTGCAATCATGAAAAGTAAAGAGCATGGAAGTTTAATAGGCCCAGAGTTGATGATAAAGCTTCTTAGCAACCCAAAATTGGTACAGAAACTGATTGATGAACGAGGACTAGCTTCAGATACTACAACTGGAACATCTGGATCAAGGAAGGCCGAGTCTTCAGTTCACCGTCCAAGCTCTCAAGGCAGCTTTCTGTTTGAGGAAGCTACCATCGAAAGCTGCAAATCTGACAGTCCCAGAACAGAGTTCATCCACAGGTCGTCAAAGATGAAAGGCTCACCAGCTGCCCCAAGTAGAATTAGGGCTTACGTGGCCAGTACTAAAACTGGACCATCATCTGCATGGGATGAAGTAGAACAGTCACTTCATTTTCAGAGCTCAACTCTTGTTTCATTGGTCCAGAAGTCCACTACCAAAAATACACGGCCAGGCAATGCAGGAATTGAGGCTCTACTAAGGCCAGGGAATCAATCATTAGCTGCTATGGCACAAATTGGAACAGGTCTTGGACCAAAGCAAGTGACCACATCAATTTCATTACTGAGATCAAAGTCCGATTTGCCAAGTCAGAACTCCAATTGTGAAGTCTTTCAAAGAGCTGATGTTGGAAATATGTCTCTGCTGAAAGCATCAGATGCCTTATCAAGCTCAACTCCTGATGTTTTGAGTAAGAAATCCACTGGTAGATATATTCAACTGGCCGATAATGGACATATGGCTGTACCAAGGCTATTGAAACGAGCACCATCCACCAATATTGAGATTGGAGCAGGCTCTTGCTCAAAGACAGTGGCACCACCAGTTCCCTTGCTGATCTCAAATCCTGATTTTCCAGGTAAGAATTTCATGAAAGAACATAGTCAACTGGCTAATTTCAGAGATCTTTTCGTACCCAGGTTTGTGAAACCAACTGTAACTGGCTCTTCTATATCAGGAACAGCTTTTGAGCCAAAGAAAGTGACACCATCTGTTCCTTTGTCAAGCGCATTGCCTGATTTCAGCAAGAAATCTTCTAGAGAACATGGTCCACTTTTATACACTAGCTTCCCTGAGCCTGCTGTAGAGAGGCATTCCCATACCTTTCCCCGAATGCAAGCTGAATCCTTGGTTGATCGGTTGGATACTGCATATATAGCAGCACATCTTGGAACTTCACCTCTCTCTGGATCACTTGTGGAGGTATATCGCCTTAAGAAGTTGATTGAAGAACATGGGTCGCATGATTGTGCTGGAAATGATTATGTTGGTAGAATTCCTGCTCCATCTTCTGTGCCTGGCGCAGAGCATCCATCTTTTCCTTTGGAGCCCTTGAGGGTAAAATTCCCATGCACATAGCTTTTGACAATTACTTCTTGTGCATATCCCTGCTCTCTGACAACCACATCTCTTTCTTTACAGAAAGATATCAGTTACTTCCAGTCCTTAATCAAGCAATACGGGGAAGAAAGAGGAAATCAGGATGATGAGCTGTCTCTGTATGGAATATCTTACAATCACGTGCAATCAAAGGAAGCAGATCGAAAGTCTAAGAGAGCATGTAAGTTCTATAACAGTTCAAAGGGATGCCGAAATGGTTCCAGCTGCCCTTTCGAGCATGATGTACCTGGACGGTGGAGGACTGATGTTGTGTTGGAGGCGCCTGGTGCAAAGAGGGTGAAGCTTGGTGGGATTTTTACAGGGAGAACATGAAGTACAATGTTATTTCTGCATGGTGGTTATCGTTTGTACAGCTCAAGGACCATTCTGTTTAATCTGGCAGTTAATGTCAACCATGGAGGTCCGAAATAAAATTTGTCATAGTTTAGAATTTTAGGAGAAACATATTTTGAAATGTCCTCTGCATCAGTGACGGAGCCAGGATTTTTTTTTTGGAGGGGTCAAAATTGAAATTCCATTCAAAGATGACTAATTCATATATATATATATATATATATATATATATATATATATCAACTCTCATAATATAAACTAAAATTGAAAAAATTTAGGGGGGTCAATTTTATTTTACATACATATTTACATATTATGAATTAAAATTCTCAAAACTTAGGGGCCCTTGGCTCCGTCATTGCTCTGCATTGTTTAGTACAGACTACAGAACTTCCCTTCCTGTTTTCCCTCTTCACCTGAGTCTTTGATTCAGACTCGATCTATGGTAGCTTGAATGGGCCACCGGCCACACCTAGGGAGTTGATCATTTTTCAGATGAGTGATGTTGAGCATGCTGGATTCCTGGACTGTCAACAATACATCTCGGTCATATGGGGAGAAATTTTCTTGCAATTTGCATTTATTGCGATGCATGCAAAATGAGAGCCAGTGTTCTGCAAGTCTAAACGGGTTTCACCGACCGTGAAGTAATCGGCTCTTTTCTGCAAGTCTGGTGGTATTTTTGGTGTTCTGGGCCGCTTGTAGAAGGCATGGTAGATTGCGAGCTGCCCAAGTTGGGAAAGCAAAACCTTGTTCGGTACTTGATATGGGGCTTAATCTTTTTCTGCTTATTCTTTAGTCCGAGTCAAATCTGGCCATCTTTGCTTCCTAGCTTATTCTTCCCAACCGCCCCACTCTTCAGGATGATAAAGTCCGTTGTTCTAGCTTATTCTTCCTAGTTTTGCTTGCTTCTTTACGGCTATACTTCAGATCAACAAGCACATCCTCCTAATTTCTTTCAATATCACGAAACGGCCACAATTTTTGAAGTTGCTCCCATCCGCCAGACAGTCTCCTGTCCCAGAGAACTTTCCCAGAAGGCTGAATAGTAAATCACTTTTCAATCTTTGATGCGCCTCAACAGCTCCAAGTTCAATGGTGTATTGGCTCTACTTGGGCACACCATAAGAACCCCAATTTGATCCATAAAAAATTTGTATTGCCCCTAACAACGTGGTAATCTTCTAAAAGTTTCACTACTCCAAAAGGGAAAGAACCGCGGTCAATCTACAGTTAGATCTGAAGCATGTCGTGTCAGGTAGCCTTGGCGCCAATCGTTTCCGGAAGTTGGAAAGAAATAAGCGAGGTTAAGAGACTAATATATGAATTCATAAGCATCGGTGAAGGTTGCGAGCGGCCCAATGCTATTACTTACCTCCGGAACTTATATTGTGTGTTTTGTAATAATAGGATTGAGTTTCAGAATTGCACCGCCAAGAAAGAAACTACAATTTTGGTTTTCAGAACGAAGCATATCTAGTCAGGAAGATGCTCGCTACCCTTGTGAGCTGCATGTAATTCGTTGTATGTCACAGTATGCTGCGGCTGTCGGTTTTGGGCATACAAAATTACAAATAAGCAACAACCCATAATTGAATCAAAAGATACAAATACTTGAGAAAAAGTAGCTCTTTTTCTTTCCTTGCTTTCTAAAATCATGTTTCTTTGAGATTGAAGCAATCGTGTTGTCCAAGGCACACAGGCCGAAAAATGTTTTGCAATAACCAGTGATGTTCCACAGAGCTGTAACAGTTCAAATAGAGGGGAATATCAAAATCTCAAAGTAGATTGCTAAATCTTCGCATTCGTGGTATGTCAAAATAGTTCTTCACCATGCCGTAATAATCTGTGACAATCAACCGGTTCTCAAGATGATGTGAACCCCACTGTCAGTATCAACAATGTCACTTATCTCGCCAACCTTTAGAGCATATGTTGCTTGCTCAAAAGGCTTCTGCATCCGTCCCCTTCCAAATGAGCCTGAATTGAAGTCATAAGCTGAAGGGGTAAGGAAGAAAGATGAAAAAATTCTGACCAAGAATTCTTGAAAAATCCATTTCGTTACATAGAAAACACGCACACACACACAATCAAAAACAATATTAGGGTCCAATAGTTTGAAGGTCTATACAAATGAAGCAGCAGATTAATTTGCAAGACGACTGCCGCATATAATGCCCTAGGTAAAACCTAGAACCATTTCATTAAAACAAGATAGAAATTTATGCTCAAGAACTTGCAAACTATTCTCCACTTGCACAGAGAACTTCAAATCTTGGACTAAAACAAAAATTTAGTAAGCAATATATTGAAAACTATAAAGCAAGGAGGTGCATGAGACCCGGCCTAGAGCAAATCGCGAATTTTTTTACAATCTGCAAGTAATAACATGCAAACTAGACCAAGAAATTCTCAGAGATCTCCAGAAAAGCATTACTATTGCTATAACATGCAATCTACAACAACAAATTCCCCACCCAAAGGCAAATACGGCATTCATACCAGTGATTGGTTCTAGTGATCATTACCAATTCTCGGGGTCATAACACCAGGGATCTCCAACGACACCCCATATTAGTATTATAACATACAATCTAGACCAACAGATTCCCAGACCCAAGAGCAATATGTTTTTCATACTAGTGATCATAAAATGTCGCTGATGAGGTTGAGTAGCATGACGTTGGGCATGGTGAATAGTGATATTCATCATGTAAAATGAATTCTCAGCATATATACTCTATCTTACGCTCTAACCAACTGAAAATCCAGAAAACTTTAATTTGATCCAAAAGTCATTAAGTGACACAGCTAATTATTGGTTGGCATTCTGCACTTGGGATGGTCATAATCATCTTTACTTGTGCAATGATACAAGCCTCATGCTGTCACCAAGATTGCATAGAACAAACTGAAGAGGACACCCTGTTTAAGTATGACATGGAATTATCCAATTAAAACCATTTCAAATAATTCTATCAGTTTAAAATGACTATGCCAATTAGTTTCCACATGCTCTAGTACATTTAGTTTATGTATTTGCTTAAGCAGTACAAATCAACAAAAGTTAGTCTAATTGAAGAGGCAATACCCACAACTAAAGAGCTCAAGAAAAGCATACACATTATCATGGAATTATCGAGTAATACCATTCCAAAAAAATAACGAGAAAAGACAATCGCTAAGAATGTAAGTTCAGTCAAAGTAGTACTTTTTCATGGATGAAGATTATATTGGTATTACTATCATACTAACTCTGGTAATCTTTTTGAAACACAATGGCAGTAGAGGTACTTTTCCAATATTTTCTTGCTCCTAATCCATATGAAAATCAATAAATTCTAATACATATTCCGGTGAGCTCAATGTCCTCAATAAGAATCCAAAATACTCGATCCTTAAAATGCAGAAACAAATAAGTAATTGCTGTACAGTTCCTTATATCTGTTTGACAAACAAAATTTGGGGGGGGGGGGGGGGGGGAAGCAGAGACTTATCACAAAAAAGAACCAAAATTACCAGCCTCCACTAACACATAAGCATCTTTATAACAAATTTAAGAGCTAGAGTCACACGCAAAATTAATGAAAAACACCTTAAAATAAAAATTAAAAAAAAATTGAACGGTTAAATTACATAAGCACAGCACTTAAAAAAAAAGAAGAAAGTAAATTAAAAAGAAAAACTAAATCAAAATTAAAACAAAAGGGGATAAATACCGAGGTCTCCTCCGCGCTTAGCAGAGCTGCAATCGGAGTAACGAGCGGCAACGTCCTCGAACTTAGCCTTGCCGGAGACGATGTCTTGGCGGAGAGCTATGAGCTGAGAAACGGCAGCGTCGCGAGTGGTGTTACTGATGATTTGGCCTTCTGGATCTTTCCAGGAAGCTTTGCGCCGGGATCCTTCGTGCTTTATCAATATGTGGGAAGCCCTAACGCTATCTGGGGAAGATGAGGACGAGGACATTTTCGTCTTCTTCTTGTGCTTTTCCGACCGATCCGTCGATGGATTCGGAGCCGAATTCTTCTTCCTCTTCCGATCTGACTCTATTTTTGCTGCTTTTATTGGTTAAATTTTTATTCTGCGAAGAGCACCGGAATGGAGAGAATGGAGAAAATGGGAATTAACAATTAAGCTCGAGTTTGACCGACCTCGAGTGATGTTTTGCGCTTCACCAGTGGCGGCTCCAACTCGAAGTTCAGGCTCAAATACTCCTACAACTCAAATCAAATAATATTAAACCAAATTGGTCACTCGCGGCCCTTGGGCTACATGTGTGCCTGCGCCGTCTGGTCTACATGGGCTTTTCAGCTAGCCTGTTCCACAGCCCAATTGCTTTTTTTTTTATTCCTTTTTTTTTTTTGGTGGGAAGAGTTGGAAAACAAAAAATGTTGAAGAGCAACAAGTAAAAACTGATTTTTTGTCGTTAAATTTGTCCTACTAATTACTACAATTAGAATTTCAGCAATAGCACCTTCTATTTTTCTTTTACTTTTCAGCTTTCTAGAATTAAGTATTTCCTTCATTACTGTTGTTTTCTGAATAATCTTCAATACAAGTGAAAATGCATTAATCTGACTATGAGATATTAAAAAAAAAAATAGATAATTGATGGTACCCAAAAGAAAAGGATAAAATTTTATTATTTTTGCACGTCCACGTTATTGATGGCCTGGTGCCAGTAGCCAGTAGGGTACCCGTAACAGTGCGTATCCACGACAGAAAAATTATAATATCCTTGAACGAATTAACTAATTAGACTATAATATCCTTTACAAAGCAGATAAAATATTGTACAAAAAAATAAATAAATAAAAATCAGTCACTCCAATGTTGAGGAAAAATGTCATGAAATTCAAATTTGTCATAATGCTCAAACTCTCTCAACGAATCGTTAGATCTTCCAAGGAATAAGGGGTATAATTTAACAAAAAAAAATGTCGCGGCCAGCTGAACGAAATTGAATAAATTTTCCTCCGAAAATATATGCCTCCCAGGATCTCTAAGTTCACCACCAAAAAATATTTCTTCCTAAACTTCTCTGAGGATGGGCCAACCTTTTCTTAGGATGTCATTGATCTTTGCATGAATACGTTTTTGCAATCTTGGCGGACAAAGCTCTGCTGCGTAGCCATTTAATTTGGCTGCCAGACTTGATTTTTCCAGCTCTTCTTCAGGCAAGTTTCCCATTAGTTGAAGAAGAAACGGATTCCGTTTCAGCTCAAATTTCTGAAGATCACAAGTCAAAATTTTCATTAATGTTCCTTTCATTCTTGTAAGTGCATAATGTGCCCAGTAAGAATATCGCAGAAGCCAGGAATAAGAAATAGGTTTTAACTTCTAAAGAAAACTAAGCAAAGGCCATCCTGCACTCATAAATTCTGCTGGACAACCTATTTCAAAATCTACAAGTTACTACACAGACTCCTTCCTATCCGTTCCGAATAGGAGCAAAACAAAGGAGAACCTGTACTTGTAACACCAAGTTTGCTTTTGTGATTTATACAAGTTGATGAAAGATACTAACCTGATGATCAGGCTCTGCAGGATAGAATGTTCCCAATTGCTGAATTTGAGTGGTTACAATGCCACTCTTTGACCTTGTCTGCTCTCTTTCTTTACTTACAGAAGCCAATCTTGACTCTTCAGTTCCATTTGTGAAAACGATGGATCTGCTTGGAAAGTTTCAACTAAGAAAGCCAGCATTATGACATAGAAAATACAACTTCAATCCAGGTTACCAACAGTACCTGTATTGGTTACCCACATCAGGACCTTGCCCAAACACCTGCCTAGAATCGTGGCTGGTCCAGAAGACCTCCAAAAGTTGTTTAAAAGTAATTACCTTAGGATCATATTCAATCTGCACAGAATCGATTTCAATATATAAAACAAGTGTAGAAATAATTGAATGTCTATTAAAGAGCATGTTTTGGTAGTTGGTAATTGCAACAGTATCTGACTTGGGAGTAAAATTCCATTTTCTCTGTAGCGAGACTAGCATGTTATCTCAAAGTGTTCATAAACTTTCATATTGCTATACTTTTAATTTGGATGTCTTTTATGCTATTGAGGCTATCATAGATTAGATCAGGCAAATGGTTTTCCACCTTTCAGCTAATTCAGGTCACAAGCAAAACTCTTGGCAGGATAAACATTACATTAGCTCCACAGTAGACTATAATAATGATCTGTTTCAAGGGCTTGAAACAGCTAACTATGTCAAGAACCCAAATCAAACAAGTGCCGACTTCATAACAAATTAAACTGCAACAATAGGTTTGTTACAAGCATTTAGTTCACAAAATGAAGTACCACTCTTCCACTCTCACTCAGTGCTGGTGGACAACTGAGAAATCCAGCTGAAAGGTAACAAGTGCAAACAAAGTTGATGGGATGACTGAAACCTATTGTTGCAAGTCCATTAGCAATAACCTCATGCACGGTCATGTTACAGAATCTCCAAGGCCTTCTCTAAGCAAACAGAACGATGACGGTCAAAAACTAAGTTGCATAGACTGGCTAAAAACAATTCAAGATCTTTACACTTGTATCCCCCAAAACATAGGAAATACTTCCCAGTTTTTCTTGATTAAGACTCATTAGCAATAAAAGAAGTTGACTAATTCTCTATGATCTGCCTGGAACAACGATAGTTCATAGGAACAATCAATATTTACCATTTTCCTCTCCTAACTAATTTTGTTAATCATAAAAATAAAAATAAAAAAACACATCCCCAGTACTTATCTCCAATCACTCAACATTAGAGCCTTCTCAGGCTCAACAACCGAGTATGAGAATTAGCAATAAACAACTAAAAACAAAATGTTGATAAGTCCTCAAATTTCAAATTAGATCTAATTGTCCAACCTTTTACCAATTCGCAAAACCAAAAGACTTAAACCGGTAATAAAATGCAAATCAATAGGCTGAAGAAAGAAGGAACGTAGGAGGTGACCTGAACAGATTCAGCGTGATCACCTAAGCTCCGATACTCGGGATTGGTTTTGGATCCACCGGAATAGCCGACAGTCGTACGCACTACCCCATCCAAGCAGCCAAACACCGCTTCCGATCTCCAGAAGCTTCCTAGAGCAAAAACCGTTGTTTGCAGCTGTTGTTGATTGGCTGTGTCTGTAATTGAACCCTCCGATAACTGGGCGGAGAATCTGATGCCCACACATAAATCTGCTGCCAATACAATGATTATGGGTAAATAGCATGTAAGGCGCGTGGCCTCCTTCATTGGGCTCGGAGTTGAATCGTCGACGGCTAGAATAATCCGGTCGGGTCGCTGGAATTCTTTATAATGTTCGACGAAGCCGAGTCCGGTTTCTCCAAAATTCGGCTGGCTGTGATCGGGTCAATCCGATTCGAATCCACAAGTCCATTATAAATATATTATCTCATTTTTCAATTAGTTGTGATTTCTCCGGTTAATGCACGAATTAATAATTCATGGTTTTCCAGTGGTATTTTTTTTTTCCTTTCTCTTTTTTATGTTCTTTTTTTTTTTTGTCAGCTACGCTATATTTGTATAACCTACTCTATTCTAATCTAGGGGGAGGGGAGCCTAAAGAGGCTGTTGGGGAGAATGATATCTTCTTTCTATCAAAAAGGATTTCTTAGGCTCCAGTTACGAATTACGACAAAGCTTGTTTAGACACCATGGCGCTTTTTTTTTTTATATATAAATTTTGATTGATGTAAAGTAAATGTAGAACCTTCCTTGTGTTGAATTTCATTTGTCCACAAATTTCAAAAAATATTTTTTGAATAATATTGGGAATTGTTGGGAACAATAATATTTTTTCAAAAAATATTATAATATTTTTTTGATGTAAAAAATATGTTTATAATGCAATCAAAGAAATTTTACAAATAAACAACTGTTCAAACACATTTGAATAAGCTTTTGTTTTTGAACAAAAATTCGTCTAGACTGTTAACATATTATTGTCTTGAATTTGCTAAGCGCCCTCCAGAGCACCTAGACTGAACCACATCACAAACAAGAAACAAATAGAAAAGATCACATACATATATTGGAATCACAGTTGTTCTCAATAATGTTGATACTCACTTTACTTATTCAAACAAAACCCAGAAAATTTAGATGCCTACAATCAAAGTAATCAAGCCACATTTAGTTTTGGCCTACAAAAAAAAGTACAGTAAATGTTAACTGTTGGTATAAAAAAAAACAGGAACTAAATCGAAAAGACCAATTTGGTGTTGCTTCCTCATCAGTTTCCTTGAGTTGGTTATGCGAATCATCATTGGCTTTAAACTATCCAAAAATGGTTGATTTCTAGGAACCATGAAGTTACTAAGCACACTTGTTCTCGTCCTTGTTAAGTTGTGAGGAGAAGGTATATAAGACCTTTCAAATATTCAACTATTTCAGATCCTCCAAGCTTTGAGCTCCCATACACTCTATCGACAAAAGTAATTGGAACCTGTGAAGACAAAAAATCGATCTCAAATATCTCCATTAACACAATAAAAAACAAGGAGGAGATGCAAACCAACGAAAGAGACAAAACTAAGAAGAAATAGTTCATCAGAGATCTTAAAACCAAATGACTAAATCTCATGTGTAGTTAGAAGCTATAGATATTTGCCAAGAAGAAGATGATAATCAACCCATTACAACTAACAGACCAAATGATAAGCAACAAGAGATCAAGTACCTCAGCAATGTTGTAACCTTTTCGTGTAGCACGAACAATCATCTCCATCTGAAAAACATATCCTTTACTCACGCATGAGCCTATAACATCTTCAAGCACGGATTTCCTATAAAGCCTTTAGGCAAAATAACAGTTGTTAGCTAAGGAAGTGGAAGCTTAGGCAGAAGCAACCAGCATTTGGTATATTGGTTTACCGGAAAGATCCAGTTAGGTCTGATACACCAGGCCAAAGGAGTGTCTGCGCAAGGACATTTGCTCCCCTGCTTGTCAATTTGCGCATAAGATTCCAACCATGCACGCCACCTCCTTTGACATATCGTGTTCCAGTAACTATATCTGCACCCGTCTCCATCTGCTTCCTAAACATCAAAACATATTCAGCTACTATACTTCTAAAACTTGGTAAAATTAAATAAAATTCTAATACTTGAGTTGAAAGGTTCTTACTTGATGAAGTTTGGAAGATATTTTGGCTGTAAAGCAAGAAAAAGAGATGCATTAGATAACAAGTGAAGCAACATATAAGCTAAATGAACACCAATAATAGTTCCACTGATATATAGGCTAAATGAACATCAATAATAGTTCGAGCGGAAGCGAAAAAACAAATAAAACACATGCCTGCAGAAAACCTCAAACACTCACACATTTAATCCAAAAGCGATGCAATACAAAAACTAAAAATTGACCCATGTAGTCTCACTGTGCTCAAAGGCCCTAATTCAACAAAATAACTTTCTGTTAAAACTCAGTTTTCCAGTTTGTTAAACACTGCCGCATATTATCTTCTTAACTTACCAAACTTACACCCAAGGTAAAAGACCAGTATCAAAGCAGCTAAAACTATTATGATTACTAAATGCACTGTAAAAGAGACAGCTCACCAAAAGTCTATTAGAAATGGAAATACACTTCAGATCTCCCAATCATTTCGTAATCTTCCACCAACCTCAAGCTCAACCCCAGAATAAGCTGCTTTCCCCCCCTTGTTCACACCAAATCCTAAGAAAGCGAGGAAAAAATGTGTTTCTTTTTGTTCCCCTCCCTTCCTCTTTTTCTTTTTGGAGGCACAAAAATTGGGGTGAGGACTATCTTTTTTTTTTTTTTTTGGTGGCGGCCTTTTTGGTTTTTTTTTTTTTGTGGGTTTGTGGTTGGTGTTGGGGGGGGGGGGGGGGGGGGGTTTGATAGAGCGTCCTCTTCATCATTCTAGTGAGTAGGAGTGCACTTACATGGTGTGATAAATCAGCATCCATAATGACCACAAAATTCCCTGAGGCATGCTTCAGGCCATGGATGTAAGCCGTACCTGAAACTTAACTAAATTAATGATCCCTTTTGCTAGTTCAAAAACTTAAACCAAGGCCAGCCAAAGACATACCTAAACCAAGCTTCTTAGGTCTAGCCCTCAACAGCTGGATTAGTAGATAGCCTTACATAAGTAGACCTTTCAAAGAGATAAGCATAGGCAAAGCATCAACAACATTGCGAATTAATACTAAAGAGGACTTACAATGCGATCCTCTCCATAGACAGATTGCAGTTGTTTAACAATATCCTGAGTCCCATCTGGACTTCCATCATCCACAACAATAATCTCAAAATTGACATTCCTAGCCAGGTAAGGACCAATTGTCAGATACAAGTATAGATCATGAAGAGAATGTTGTTTGTCATTGTTTTAGTGTTAGTGTTTTTCACATCTTTAAGTAATATCTATCATCTAATGTCAAACCAAAACCTATGAAGCACAATCTCAAATAGTTAATTTCGTACAACAATTTGGTCCATGTTATTCACATATTCAGTTGCAAGTCCAAAGCTTCACCTTCTTACACCTAATGGTTCCCACACCCACTCATAACTATAGAGCTGAATATGCTCACGGCTAATCATCTAGAAGTTTGAGTGGACAAACAAGCAAACTTTTTCACAGCAAATCAGTTTTAATCAGCTTATCCTGGGCATATGTATAAGAAAAACTACACTTTGTTACCAATTACCAGTCATGATTGAGAGAAAAAAGTATCCATACAAAATATGTGCTACTGTGTGCATTGCTTATCAATTTTCAAACAATTCTGAAGCTAAGATTTTGATACTTCGCATGATATCTAAATCAAATACCCAGAAACACTTCTTTCCAAATTGTAAGTCAATCACACACACAAAAGCGCGAATAATAATAATAATAATAATAATATAATGCTATAATAATAGAAAGACTAATAATAATAATAAAAGCGAAGAAGTGTTCCTGTGTAACATGGAGATAATTATTTCAGCAGTTCATAGATGATTCTGATGACCAAGTAATAAGCTGTAAGATCAACAAAAACACTTCATTCAAATAAACATAAATAAACCTTTTGATGCATGCAACAAAAAGATTTAGAACGTGAAATGAAAAATTCACAGAAGATAAGTGTAAAAGCCAAAAGTGCAATGAAAGAAGCCACTAGACAAACAAAGCAGAGGCAATGGAACATGCATCATCTGTTTTATACATATATTCACAGAAAAGGAAAAGGAGAACATGCATCATCATGGATAACTTGGTAACAAGAGAGAGAGAGAGAGACAGAGAGAGAGAGGGTACGGGAGATGCTTGAAGATGAGATAAACAAGGAGAGCAATGTTGAGGCGCTCATTGTAGGTGGGGATGATTATACTATACTTATTGCTATTCTCCTTTTGCTCATTGCCCATATTCTTTCTGCATCAAAATCCCTCCAACCCCTAGAAAGCGCAAATTTTTATTGAACTGGGTTAGAGAGAGAGACGGAAGGCAAAAACAAAAACACTTACAGCTAATGCAAGTTGTAGGTAACAACTGTTAGTATTTCAATTCAAACTAAAGTTCCATCCTATTAGTTTTGGTTGTTTGTGATAATTCAACCCTCTAATGGAAAAGATCGAGCTCATGTGTTCTTCTCAGCAGCTTACTCCACTTAGGTACTTGATCCCATCAACCAAATTGGATAGCAAAACAATTTTGGTACAGCTTTAAAATGCATATTTTTCTACCGCATAAGATTTTCATTTAGCTCATTCTTCTACTTGTCAAATTATGCCTCTTCAATTCCCTTTTGTGTCAGCTGAATTTCCAAAAGCAGTATAACTATCCTAATTCCTTATCAGTGAGCAATAGCTCTAACAAATTCTTAAAATTTGACGGAATAACACGACCGATCTGATTAAAAAAAATCTTCTTTTAGTATAATATGAAGGAAGCCCATCTTTTCAAGTTCAATTTCGATTAGTTCAAGTAAATTACATATTTCATGCTGAGTAAGAGCAGTAAAATACCACTGATGTCCAAGAATATATCCAAAAGGTTGGTAGCTGCTGTAACTACGTGAGACTGTTCGAAGGAGTAGCTCTAACATAAGGTACCCAAAATGTATAAAACAGTCAATAACGATTACACAAAGATTCCCATACAAATTCAGCTCTCCATCTAAACTAACTGAAGAAGCGTAATGAAAAGCTGGGAAATTCAATCAGTTTAACAACTTGAACTGAAAATCAGAAACGATCTAACCTTAAAGACGGCAACTTTATATGGTTTGGAAGCTTCAATTATGCGCAAATGGCCGAGACTTTGAGAAGGCAATTATTGGGTTTAGGGCTTTGAATTGGGAGTTTGATAATATTAACGAGAGAAGTTCTCTCTTCTTTCGTCT